AAAGGGTTTTGTTTTTTTTTTTTTTTTTTTTTGTTTTATTCATTTCAAACGGGCCGTAGTTTGCCCACGGCTGAATATAGATCTGCAGGGTCCCCTGCATTGTGCTGGATCATGCATAGCACCTGAAAAAGTCCAAAGAACATTTCCTTTTTCTTATCTTGGCAGCATTATTGAGGGAAAAACAATAAAACCTCAGAAAATTCAAATTCGGACTGACACTTTACTTACATTAAATGACTTCCAAACATTATTAGGAGATATTAACTGGGTTCGACCTGCTTTAAAATTAACCACTGCTGACTTCAGCCCTTTATTTCATATATTCAGGGGAGATTCATCTCCGTCATCCCCACGCTGCTTGACAGAGGAAGCCAAGACAGCCTTACGTAAAGTTGAGGATCCCTTCACTTCAGCACAGCTTCCTAGAACTGATTACTCCCTTCCTTTACAGGTTTTAATTTTCCCTACTACACATACACCCACTGGGGTCATTTGGCAAGCTCCCGGAGTTGTTGAATGGCTATATTTAGCTCATTCTCCAACTAAGGTATTAACTCCTTTCCACGATTCAGTTTCCCAGCTAACAGCTTGAGCCCGCCTTTGAACAGGCCAGTTAGTGGGCCGAGACCCTAACCTTATTGTAGTGCCATTTACAGCTATACAGCAACGCCGGCTCTGGCAACAATCAACAAATTGGCAAATTGCACTTGCTAATTTCTCTGGACAGGTTGGGAACCATTATCCAGCAAATAAGGTTTTACAATTTCTCTCAGTTACTACCTTTACCTTCCCAAAAATAGTGAAGCCACAACCTGTACCTCAGGCATTAAACATTTTTACAGATGGATCCAGTTCTGGAAAGGCTGGATCTACTGCAGCAGAGGTGCAAAGGTCCTTCAAACCTCTTATATTTCAGCACAACGGGTGGAAATACAAGCTCTTATCTATGCCTTGACAGATTTTGCTACGGAGCCCATTAACATATATAGTGATATTGCCTATGTGGTAAGTATGGCCAAAATTATTGAAATGGCTACTATAGGGCACACTAATTCAGAGGAACTCTTTCATTTATTTCTCAACCTTCAAAAAGTCATTAGAGAACGACAATTTCCCTGCTTTATTGGTCATATCCAATCTCATCCAAGTCTCCCTGGTCCGTTAGCTATAGCAATGACGCTATTGATCGCCTCCTTGTTGTAACGCAAGAGGCTACCCCATTTTTTCTTGCCCAGTCCTCCCTTGCTTCGCATCATCAAAATGCTTCTGCTTTGTGCAAACAATTCCGTATTTCTTGGGAGCAAGCTCATCAAATTGTTAAGCAGTGCTCTCAGTGTGTAATTCATTGCCCTGTACAATCATTGGGGGTTCATCCTAGGGGTTTTAAATCTAATCAAATCTGGCAAATGGATGTGACCCATGTACCAGAATTTGGTAAGCATAGATGGGTACATGTCAACATAGATACCTGCTCCCACTTTATCTTTGCGACTCCCCAAACAGGGGAAAGTGCCAAGCATGTAATTAATCATTGCTTAGCCGCCTTTGCGGCACTAGGTCCTCCTTTAGAGCTAAAGACAGACAATGGACCCGCATATGCTAGCTCTGCTTTTCAGCATTTTTGTCAGCAATATCAAATTGGTCATAAAACTGGTATCACTTACAACCCCCAAGGTTAAGCAATAGTGGAAAGAGCCAATCATACTCTTAAAATGCAATGACTAAAACAGAAAGGGAAAGACGGATGTTATGTGTCACCTCAAAACAAACTCAGTCATGCTCTTTATACTTTAAATTTTTTGAATTGCTACACAGCGTTGTACAGCAGCCGAAAGGCACCGGACCTCCAGTGCAATAGCCTCCGCTGACTTAGCCTGGTGGAAGGATGCACAAACCAGACAAAAGTTTTACCAGATTCAGTAATGATGTGGGGAAGAGGTTGTGTTTTGTATCTTTCCAGAAGGAGCAGCACAGCCAATCTGGGTGCCAGAGCATTATGTGCGTCACCACCATGGACCCAGAGAAGCTTCTTGTCCCTTCATTCAAAAGACTGAGAGTTGCCCCTATGACAGCAAAGTGGAAAAAAGAAGAAAATGAAGGCTACAAGGGACTGAAATGCCAGCATGGGGTCAGCTGCAGAAGTTAACAACTGAGGCCCAGCAGATGGTAGAAAAGCAAGATGTGGAAGCTACTCCCTCAATCATGTTTCTGGCTATGCTAGCATTGGTTACCTGCCAGACCTCTGCAAATTCTTGCATAGCCAAGTCCGAGGACCATGCATAAATGAGCAAAAGAAACTTTCATTTAGTAGAAAAACATTACTGTAGTTTGGTTTCTCACTTATTGCTGTATTGCATTGGCATTGTTTGGTTAATAGCCAGAGCTTTATTCTTGCTTGATGTTTAAGTTTTAAAATGTTAACATGTCTGTAGTTTGGGTTTTGCATTGGCATTGTTTTGTTATTGTTTTAATAGTCAGAAAGAGAGAGAGAGACATTGATTTGTTGTTCCATCTATTTGTGCATTCATTGGTTGATTCTTGTATGTGCCCTGACCGAGGGATCAAACCCACAACCTTGGCATCTTGGGACAACACTATAACAAACTGAGCTCCTTGGCCAGGGCACATTGGTTTGTATTTAATTTTCAAAATTATTAGCAGTATTGCAATGACCATCTTCATGGTTATTTACTTAATGTAAATTTTAAAATGAAAGAATACTTTCTGATAGGTTCATTACTATTCCCAACCCCTTGCAATGCCACAAAGACCTCCAGGTGGTTGGAGCTGGTGCTTTGGCTCCCGAAACAAAGGCACCACAAGACCGCGTCTGCTCAGCTGTGGGCCTCCAGATATACAAGACAAGTTGCATGCATGGGTCGCATTTCACTTTTCCCTGAGACTGCTCTCAAACTATAGTGCAAAGATCTTTTTAGAAAAGATGTAGACACCTGGGACAAGAAGAATGGAAGAAAGACCACAGCACCAATTTGAAAGCTGGAAAGCAGGCAGACAGGTGCAGTTAACTCAGCAGGCCCGAGGAAGCTCAGCGTGGGCCGTGAGCACACATGGGCTCCAATCTGATCGACTGTACTGACTAAGGAGCAAAAGGCTAAGGAGCCATAGCAAATCGGGTGCTCGCCCGTGTCACCCCTGTGCGTGAGTTAGAATTAGCCTCCTCTTCCTCAAAACACTGAGGAACTTGTCAGGAATACACAATTCCATAGCACCTGCAGCGTGGGAAAGGCGCCCTTGGAACTGTGCAGGGCACAGCCGTGCCGCCGCGCATAACAGCCCTGGCCTGGAGCACCAGGTGCCGCCGAAGGAAGAGGTGGATGAGGAGGCTGTTGTACAATATGAAACATTGGCTGAAACGCGGAAAACAATTCAGCCTTGCCTGGCAAAGACAAACATGCACGTACTGCACAACAGAGCAGGAAAAACGATGTCAAATTCATTCAGTTTTGAACAAATACTAACTGAGCACCTATTACTAGTAAGTTCTCGTCATTGTGCTGGGCACTAACTATACAAGAATAAACAAGGCACACAGACCTCTCCCCTCTCAGAAACCACCAGGATTCTACATCCCAAGGCAGCTGTAAAGAGCAGCAATGTTGCGCTCTCTCTCCCTCTTCTTTCCTCTATAAGAATAAATAAAACATATTAAAAAAAAAAAAAAAAAAAAAAAAAAAAAAGAATGGGACTGAGAGACAAGACAGATCCCTCCACTCCAATGTCCTGTGATTTTGTGTTGCTAGGCCCTAGCTCCTTAGTCCCAGTATCACCAATCACCTCCTCAGGACCACAGCTCAAATCCTCACTCCTCTGAGATGGGCAATTCTGGGGTTGCTAATTGCGCTCAGCAGAATTAGCTGCTTGTCATCACACAGCGAGATAGCCAGGGTCGCACGCTTCTGCTCTCAGACACAGCAGTACTCAGATAACCCTACCCTTGTTGTTTTTCTCTCCAGAGCGTTTCTGGGAGCACAGATTTTCCTATGACAACTCCAGGAGGACACAGTGTCCCCATGCAGGAGCTGCTGGGACCAGCTGGGACCAACTATCAACAGCCGCAAGGCCCTATGGGTACAATATTTTGTGGTTCCTCAAAAAATTAAACAGACTGCCCTCTTTCACCCTGTGGTGCTCTCTCCTCTCCCTGGTCAGGGCCATTCCACCTGAGAACATCAGAAGCACAGACGTCAGAGGCGCTGATGTTCTCAGCTGATTCTGACCTTGAACCTTGGGGATGGCTGCAGGGGTGTAGCCTGGCCCACGCCGATGCTGGCTGAGGCTCTCGTTGGGGCACTGACCCATGCCCAGGGCGGAGTTCGTTATCTCCAGGTTACTGAGGAGCCAGAGGTGGCCGGGAGCTCCAGGCTGAAATTGTGCTGAGCTCTGGGGACTCTGGGAGAGATTGGTGTGGGCGGTCCCAGAGCCACAGCCCTTCCCTGGCGCTTGGTGAGTGTGGTTCTGTGCGCAGGCCGTTCGGTCCTGCCAGCAGGCAATGACTGGGTCTTAGAGAAGCTGGTGATTATTTATTTTTATTCATTCATTTCTAGTTTTAGAGAAAGACAAGTACCATATGATTTCACTCATATGTGGAATTTAATGAACAAACTGAACTACCAAGCAAAATAGAGACAGACTCAGAGAGAGCAGGCAGACAGCTCTGTTGGTTTGGGGTGTGTTGAACAAAAAAGAAAAAGGAGAGAGGGAGAACTCATGGACGTAGACAACAGTGTGGTGATTGTGGGTGGGTGGGTGGAAGAGGTCATAGAAGGGATAAATGGTGATGGGGGGAAATTAAATTAAATTGTCCTGGCCAGTGTTGCTGAGTGGTTAGAGTGTCCCCCCACACACTGAAGGGTCTCAGGTTTGATTCCTGGTCAAGGGCATGTACATGGCTTGCAGGTTCAATCCCTAGCCCCGATTGGGGTATGAGTAGGAGGCAATCAATTGATGTATCTCTCTCACATAGATGTTTCTCTCTCTCTCTCTTTATCTCTCCCCCACTCCCTCCTTCCCTTCCATTCTCTCTAAACAATCCATGGAAAATGGAAAAAATATCCTCAGGTGAGGATTAAAAAAACAAAGTAATAAATACATTAAATTAAAAATAAAGTAATACTATTAGAATGACTATTTTTTTAAATCTTTATTGTTGAAAGTATTACATATGTCCCCTGAGAATGACTATTACTTCTTTTTGAAATATATTTTTATTGATTTCAGAGAGATAGGGAGAGGGAGAGAGAGAGAGAAACATTAATAATGAGAGAGAATCACTGATTGGTTGCCTCCTGCACGCCCCCGACTGGGGATCAAGCCCACAACCCAGGCATGAGCCCTGACCAGAATCGAACCTGGGACTCTTCAGGTGCAGGCCAACGCTCTATCCACTGAGCCACACCGGCTAGGGCTATGACTATTATTTTTTTAAAAAACATAGAAAATAACAAGTGTTACAGATGTTGGGGAAAAATGAACCGACTTCTGCGCATGGGCCACGAAGTTTCATTCGCACTGTACATGCGCGCCCGCACGTGGTATTTGGTGGAAGAGCCACACTCAAGGGGCCAAAGAGCCGCATGTGGCTCTCGAGCCACAGTTTGCCGACCACTGGCTCAGACAAATCAACAGGACCAACTGGACCGGGTCGGGATGGCTCAGCCTCCCAGGGGAGGGGCCCCGCAGAAGTGAAGGGAGAGGTCAAGCTCTGAACTGCTAGCTGCAGAACCCATTCTGGAAGATACAAGCAAAACAATTTTTATCACCCTAGCCGGTGTGGCTCAGTGGATAGAGCGTCGGCCTGCGGAATGAAGCATCCTGGGTTTGATTCCAGTCAAGGGCACATGCCCAGGTCATGGACTTGATCCCCAGTGTGGGGCCTGCAGGACACAGCCAATCAATGATTCTCTCTCATCATTGATGTTTCTCTCTCTCCCTCTCCCTTCCTCTGAAATCAATAAAAATATATATATTTTTAAAATCACTTATTCATATATTTCTGTAAATTTAGAGAAGAACTAGAGTACTTGGTTTGAAAAATAGACAAGAATAAGAGAAGCTAAGGGAGAAACGTGGCCAGGATCACTCCACAAAGCCAGACCTGCGGGACAACACTGCTGCCACCATTGAGCCAGGAGAGCCCAGCAGCCCCGCAGCCCGGCCCTGGGCAGAGCCTCTGGCCTGCGCACTGGCTGCTGCCCACTGCCCTGCCCGCCCAGACAGAACCCCCCTCTCTGGTCAGCCTTGACTGCAGGTCCTTACTCGAGCCTGAGCATCTGTCTGACGGGCTGAGCCTGGGCCCTGGCCACATCCCAGAGGAAGAAAGCAGAAGGCAGGAGGCTGGCAGTTCTAGCGTCTCCCCTGGGGGGCAGACGGTGACATTCATCAAGATGCCTCCGCGGAAATTCCCCAAAGAAACCAAGGGAGGTGCAGAGGCTGGGCAGCCAAAAGTGATGCCACTGCCAGCGGACACCTGCCAGCTCCGAACCCAGGAGACTGGCGGCCTAGGAAAGAGAAGGCAGCCCTCGCCCAGTGCCACTGGCTCTGGGGGCTGTGGGGGAACTATCTCCGGCTCATCTAAGGCCCAGCTGTGGGGCCCTGAGGCCCAGGGATCCTGGAAGCAGTGTCAGCCGTGGCCTCCAGTGAGGTCTCAGAACATCTCTGACGCTTCCAGACCGCTCAGAAACCCGCTCGCCCTCCGTCCCACTTCCTCTTTCTTTTTAAATCCTCACCTGAGCATATGTTCTTATTGATTTTGAGAGAGAGAGAGACATCAATGGGAGAAACAGCAATTGATTGCCTCCCAGTATTTGCCCCTACCGGGGACTGAACCTACAACCTAGGTATGTGCCCTGACCGGGAATCGAACCCACAACCTTTTGGTGAATGCCTCCAACAGATGCTCAGGCTCAGCCAGATGACCCTCCAACCACCTGAGCCTCCTGCCAGGGCTGTCCTACTTCCTTTGAGTGCTGTGTTCTCCTTGGCCCTTTCCTAAAGCCAGTCAGCAAACCTCCAGGTGCCTGGTAGTCGTCCAGGTGTTTTCACAGTCAGTCCCTGCCTTCCTATGCACCAGGTGCAGGTGGCAGCAGCAGCCGTACTGACCCAGAGTGTGGGAGAGACAGCAGCCCGAGCTAGGGAGGCCCCGCGGTCTTCGCTTGGCCAGCCTGGTGGCCTCATGCTGTAGAGCATGTGAGTGGCATCAGCGTCAGGAGTGAGCAGGGAGAGGAAAGCACATGCATTGGACATCTATTGTGCTACAGCCGTGGTGGCATCACCACGGACAGTTATTGCACGTTTACTCTGCTAAGTGCTTAACATGCACCGTCCCATCAAACCCTCACAGCAACTCTGTGAGCTGAGCATCATCATTCCCATCTTCCAAAGGAGGTCAAACCACCCAGCGGTCAGCGGCAGAGCCAGGCTTCCAAACCAGGTTTGCCTGACTCCCACGCGGAATGCCTCCAACAGGCAGAGGCTCAGGCTGGCCCCAGGGCCAGAGCCGGGCAGGCTGGGCCAGACCACGCCAGTGGGGCCACCATCCTGAGAGCACCTTGGGAGGAAGCGGGATGGAGAGAGGAGACCCCAGAACTCTCCCCAGGCCCGGCCCTCAGTGCGAGTTCTGGGTTTCTGAGGAAAGCCTGCACCCCACTAGGAAGGAAAGGCCGTCAGGGTAGACTTGCAGACCCGGATCAGAGAGAACAGCCAAGATGTAAGTCATTTGGGACAAAGGCTTGGACTGGCTCTTCTCTGAGGCTCTGAGCGGGGGAGGGAGAGACTGCCTGGGGCCCAGCTCCTCTTCCCCTCTCTACCCAGCGGCTGGCCCCTAGGCAGGCTGCTCGGCTCGACAGGAGGCACCTGGGCACCTGCTTCACCCAACCTTCCAGGACCCACCTGTGTCTCTAGGCCTCGCTCCTCAACTCTGGACACCAGGGAGTACCATCCAGAGTCTCTGAGGTAAGTATGTCTGTTTTCCAATGGGAGGGAGGCTGGGGTAGACGAAACCAAAATCCACAGGAGTAAGTCGAGTGAAAGGCACAGGAGAATGAAAGCAGGAGGGCCCGTCTCCCCACTGTGCCAGGAGCTCTCCAAGCCAGCGCCAGTCCTGCTCACCTAGCGGGCCCCTGGGGTGGGGGAGGCAGCAACAGACTCAGACTGCGGATGCCCAGCACAGTGATGGGCACACCGGGGGCACTAAGTATTTGTTGGCGAAGCGGAGGGAGTGGATGGCCTATTTTGTCTTCAGATAATGTGTGACTTCTTTTCCCACTTTCCCCTTAGCACACTCGTCTCATCTCCCCTGCCCTGGAGTCCCCCAGTCTCCCTGGCTGCCCCTGCTAAGCTTTGCCAAGCTGTGGACCAGGCACCCCCTCAGTCCCAGCAACACCACAAAGTCACAGGGCACCTGGGCTGGGCTAGTTTCTTAGCAGTTTTATTGAGTAGCGAGAGGTAGCGTCATTTTCCACAGGACATGTGTCCTCAAACTCATAAGGGAATTGCTTTGGGACAGACCGACAGACAGGTGGCAGGGCGGGGCAGGTGTCCAGGGCCGGGGGTGGGCACCAGGGGCAACTCAGTCCCCCAGGGGTGCCTGCTCCGGGGTCTGCTCGGGGAGGGGGGGCGCCAGGGGCTGGTCCTGGCCCT